GCTGCGGGAGACAAATCGCCTGTCTTCGGGGGTTTCCTGCTTTCCGAGAGCAGCCCCGATATCGGGGCGGGCGGCTGGTTTTTTTTGGCCACGCCTGCATTTCCACCCCCGCACTCCTGCTTCCTTGGAGAGTCTGGTCTTGGATCTAGCTGTGTGTTTTCTGGGGGACCCGGTGGCTTTGGCCGGGGCCCTGAACGTCCCCGTTCCCGCAGGGTGCTCCTTCGAAGGGAACGGACTCCTCCCCACCCCTGTGACGTTGGCTGTCTTCCTGCCCCGGCATCCTGGCCCGACCCGCAGGGCCAGCCTCCAGCGTGACGTGGGAAATGCCAGGACTTCGGGAAAGCTGCCAGGGGCGTGCTCGGAGGTCGTGTCCCCCAGGATCGGCTGGGGGGCCCCGAGATGCCTTCTAAGCTGGAGACGCGGCCAAACCGTTGCTGGGCCCCTTAGGGTCCCACCAAACCTTCTCCGTACCTCCTCCCTTTAGAGGCTGAAATCCAGAGTCCTCCGTGGGCCGGCACCAGGTGAACACGATCCCTAGGAGGCCCTAGATCTACACCCCGAGAGTTTTTGAAGTCCCAGTTTAGCTGGGAGGATTGGATCAGGATGGGCTTTGGGTAGGGGGTTGACTAGATGGCCGCTCAGGTCTCTTCCACCCTTGGGAATCCCTGCTCCTGTGACGTTTACCTCCCAAAGAAAAGGCGGTGCTAGAAACCAGCTGGGGAGACCAAAAGACACGGTGACTCTCGCGAGTTCGGCCGGCTCCGTCTTCCCGTTCCCTCCGCCCTGCTCCGAGCTCGCTTGGCCTCGATGGTTGGCGCAAGGGATGTGGGAGGCCGGGAGACAGATCTGTCTGTTGGGCAGATCCGCAGAACCATTGGTAGAACGGGTCGGTGTCCAGAAACTGCCGGCGTTTGTTCTTTGTGTGTACGCAGCCTGTTAGAAAGAAGCGTTTCTACGTGTTCCGGGTGGGCACCATACATGACGTGGTCTGTAAGCAGACACGGCAGCATGTGAATTTTTGTTCTTCCATGACCCCCTCCCCATGTGCCGTAGGCCAGAGCAGCTGGCGGTGGCTGTTCTGGGCTGGAGACCGGTTTCTTGCTCCGCTTCTGACGAAAGGTCGAGAAAACGTGACCGGGGAGGGAAGACTGCAAGAATTGGGCTTGTTGCGTTTGGAAAAGACATGGCGGAGAGGGGACACGGTAGCGGATTCCTAGTACGGAAAAGCGTGTTCCGAGGAGGAGGGAGAAAAGTTGTTCTCTGGGGATCGGACAAGAAGCAATGGGCTTAAACTGCAGCCGGGTAGATGGAGGTTGGAAAAATTTTGTACGGGTCTGGGTGGGATAAATTGCCCAGGGAGGTTGTGGAATCTCCATTGCTGGAGATATTGAAGGGCCGGTTGGGTAGACATCAACCAGGGATGGTCTAGATGGTGGTGGGTCATGCCGGCATGTCAGGGGACTGGACTTGATGACCTCTTGAGGTCCCCTCTGGTTCTCGTGTTTTATGATTCTATAGACATCGACCAGGGATGACGTAGGTGGTGCTTGGCCTTGCCATTGGGGCAGGGGATTGGACTTGGTGACCTCTCGAGATCCCTTCCAATTCTAGCATTCTATAATTTTGTAGACATCTACCAGAGGTGGTCTAGATGGGGCTTGGTCCTGCCGTGAGGACAGGGGATGGGACGTGATGCCCTCTCGAAGTCCCTTCTGGTTCTTGTGTTCTATGATTCTGTAGACATCTACCAGGGATGGTCTAGATGGTGATGGGTCACGCCGGCAGGTCAGGGGACTGGACTTGATGACCTCTTGAGGTCCCTTCCCGTTTTAGTGTCCTATGATTCTGTGATTCTGTAGACATCTACCAGGGATGGTCTACATGGGGCTTAGTCCTGCAATGAGGTCAGGGGATTGGACTTGATGACCTCTCATGATCCCTTCCCGTTCTCACGTTCTGTAATTTTGTAGACATGTACCGGGGTGGTCTAGACGGTGCTTGGGCCTGCCATGAGGGCAGGGGATGTGACTCGATGACCTCTCGAGGTCCCTTCCAGTTCTATGATTCGGTAGACATCTACCAGGGATGGTCTAGATGGTGCTTAGTCCTGCCATGAGCACAGGGGATGGGACTCGACCTCTAGAGGTCCCTTCCAGTTCTATGATTCTGTAGACATCTACCAGGGATGGTCTAGATGGGGCTTGGTCCTGCCATGAGGGCAGGGGACTGGACTTGACGACCTCTCAAGGTCTCTTCCGGTTCGAGGATTCCCTCGGCAAAAACGGCTGAGTGGAAGCAGTGAGTAGGGAGCCTCGGAAAAGATTAACGCCTGCCGTTTGCAGCCAGGCCCTCCCTGGGCCGCTCCGTTTTCACCAGCACGAGCCGCACCGCCCCGCCGAGCCAAGGGAAAAGCCAAGGAGCCGGCTTCATTAGCTGCGCTTGCTGCCCTCTGGGTGTGAGATGCTTTCTGTCGCCGTCATTAAGAGCGCATCCTTTGATGTTTCCGAAGGAGCCGATTGATCCGGGAGGCCCGGCCCTGCAGCACTCGAAAATCAGCAGGACCGTATTGTGAGCCCTGGGAATTGTACGACGGGCTTGAACGGCCGCATTCTTGTATCAAAATCCAACAACTGGAAGGGACCTCGCGAGGTCATAAAGTCCTGTCCCCTGCCCTCCCAGCAGGACTAAAAACATCTAGACGAGTGGATCTCACACTTTTCGCATCACCCCCCCCCCCCCTTTTTGATTGTTTAGAAACCCTCACACACACACCCCTTTAATTCCTGGGACTCGTGTAAAAAAAAAGGTGCCAATACTCCAGGGGAAAAGTTGTTGACCAAAAAAAAAAAAAGGTTGCCCTTTTAAGAGCAGGCATTTCCCTTTTAAGGTGGCCATTTTGAAGTCTGCCAAGGATGCTCCATCCTATCCCCGCCCCAGCCAGCTTGAGTGGACACCCGAACCAGGAAGAAGAGAAAATACCGGACATTTCACATGGTATTTTCTGAATTTTTTTTACCAGATGGGCCGGGCTCTTTCGTGGGGCTGGGGGGACCTTTAATTCCTGGGACCAGTGTAAAAAAAAAGTACTCCGGGAGAAGAGTTGTTGACAAGGGCGGGTCCTGGAATTTCTTCATGTCCCTCTGGGGTGTGTGTGCGGCCCCCAGTTTGGGAACCTATGATCTAGACCGTCCTTGGTAGATGTCTATGGAATCACAGAATCCTAGGACTGGAAGAAACCTCAAGAGGTCATCAAGTCCAGTCCCCTGCCCTCTCGGCAGGACCAAATACCGACTAGACCATCCCTGGTAGATGTCTACAGAATCATAGGATACTAGAACTGGAAGAAACCTCAAGAGGTCATCAAGTCCAGTCCCCTGCCCTCTCGGCAGGACCAAATACCGACTAGACCATCCCTGGTAGATGTCTACAGAATCATAGGATACTAGAACTGGAAGGGACCATGAGAGGGCATCAAGTCCAATCTCCTGCCCTCTCGGCGGGACAAAGCACCATCTAGACCATCCCCGGTAGATGTCTACAGAATTATAGGATACTAAAACTGGAAGGGGCCTCAAGAAGTCATCAAGTCTAGTCCCCTGCTCTCCAGACAGGACCAAGCACCGTCTAGACCATCCCTGGTAGATGTCTACAGAATCATAGGATACTAGAACTGGAAGGGATCTCAAGAAGTCATGAAGTTCAGTCCCCTGCCCTCCCAGTAGGACCAAGCCCCATCTAGACCATCCCTGGTAGATGTCCATGGAATCATGGAACAGGAAGGGACCTCAAGAAGTCATCAAATCTAGTTCCCTGTCCTCCCGGCAGGACCAAGCACGGTCTAGAGTTAGACCATCCCTGGTAGATATCCATAGAATCCTAGAAATGGAAGGGACCTCGCAATGTCATCGAGTCCCGTCCCCTGCCATCACGGCAGGACCAAGCCCCATCTAGACCATCCCTGGTAGATGTCCATGGAATCATGGAACTGGAAGGGATCTGAAGAAGTCATCAAGTCCAGTCCTCTGCCCTCCTCCATCTAGACCATCCCTGGTAGATGTCTATCCAACCTGCTCTTCCATATCTCCATGGTTGGAGATTCCACCACCTCCCTCGGCAATTTATTCCAATGTTTCGCCATCTGGACAGGAATTTTTTTCCGAATGTCCATCCTAAACCTCCCTTGGTGCAATTTAAGCCCCTTGCTTCTTGTCCAACCCTCAGAGGTTCAAGGAGAACCGTTTGTCTCCCTCCTCCTTGGAACGGCCTTTTCGATTCTTGAAAAGTGCTATCCTGTCCCCGCCTGCTCTTCTCTTTTCGAAACCAAACACGCCCAATTCTTTCAGTCTTCCCTCATCGCTCGCGTCTTCTAGACCGTTCATTGCGTTGGTTGCTCTTCTACCGTTTCTCCACGTCTTTCTTGAAACACGGGGCCCAGAACTGGACACGAAACTCCAACGGAGGCCTAACCGGCGCAGAGCCGAGCGGAAGAACGACTTCTCGTGTCTTGCTCACAACACTCCCGTGTATCCATCCCAGAATCGTGTTTGTTTGTTTTTCAACAGCGTCACACTCTTGAGTCATATTTAGCTTGTGGTCCACTCTGACCCCTCGATCCCTGTCTGCCGGACTCCTTCCTAGACCGTCGCTTCTCGTTCTGTGTGTGCGAAATCGATTGTTCCTCCCTAAGTGGAGCGTTTGCATTTGTCCGTATTCAACGTCACCCTGCTTTGCGCTTGCCCCGATGGTTTTGAATCGTGGTCCTAGCCTCCAAAGTGCTTGCAACGTTGTTTGAACCCGGTTACGGTCTTTACCACATCCTCCGGCAAGGAGTTCCACAGGTTAACAGGGTGCAGAAATTCCTAGTCCAGCTTGGTATCGTCCGCAAACTTAATGAGCGTCCTCTCTATGCCAATATCGAAATCGTTGATGAAGGTGTTGGACGGGACACAACCTACAGCGACAGGTGCCGACCTCTACCTTAGCCAGACGCACTGGCCACATGCAGGTTGCTTGTGTCGGGCCTCCTGCGGCGTCCTCTCGGTGCTGCCACTGACTCGTTGTGACCTTGGTCATGTCACTTTGCCTCTCTGTGCCCGAGACAAGTGTCTCCAGCTGGGCATTGGGGACGATGGGGCTGTCTCCCCTAGTGGCTGTCTCCCCAAAAGGTCTGTGGTGGGTTTAGATATTGCAGGGCGAAAGGGGTGGAGACGGCACAGTCGCTTCTATACTTCTTCGTTTTTTCGAATTCGTTATGCCGAAGTGACCTTGGTCATGTCACTTTGCCTCTCTGTGCCCGAGACAAGTGTCTCCAGCTGGGCATTGGGGACGATGGGGCTGTCTCCCCTAGTGGCTGTCTCCCCAAAAGGTCTGTGGTGGGTTTAGATATTGCAGGGCGAAAGGGGTGGAGACGGCACAGTCGCTTCTATACTTCTTCGTTTTTTCGAATTCGTTATGCCGAAGGAGGAGCCGGGGTGCGGGGAGGGGGGCAGGGTTGTGACCTGGGACAGGAGGGGGTGCCGGG